TTTTTTTTATAATAACTGAGGTATTTGATCCATTTGGATAGCAAAAATATATTCGATCTTGTATGATGGTGTGCTTCTAAAAATAATAATATAATTTTATTGATTTTGTCTATTATCCGTAATTATTTATATAACTATTTTTTAACATATATTGTTTTAGTAATTCAAATGGGAGATTCACAAGGAAATAATAAAGAAAAATGAAAAGAGAAAGAAAACTATGAAGCTTGGATTAAGGATGATTCCGATGAATTGTTACAATTGATAGTGGATGCTATAAAAAGAGGATAGAATATTATAGAGAATTATTATTATTATTTATCTAGACATTATTTTTTTTATTTATTATTTTTATCTTTGACTCTTTTTAAATTTGAATGTATAATTTTTTTTAAATCTTATCAAATGTCAAAATTCCACAAAATCCCACAGAATCCATTAAAATCCTAATTTAAAAGTCTTGCAGAATCCATTAAAATCCTGATTTTAAGTCTTGTAGAATCTTGCAAAATCTTAAAAGTCATGAAAATCCTGCAAAGTCTTTTAAAATCCGCAGAATTTTTTTTAACTAAAAAAGTCCTTTAAAATCCTAATCCAATACACCCCCCTTAATTGAGCATCCATACCAGTGAAAAAAGACTTTTAAATTAATTATTATTATTTTTATTTTTAAAATTGATTATTTGATCAATTTTAGAATAGTTGGATTCTGTAAGTCCAACTTTTAAAATTAGTTAGATTTTAAAAGTGGCAAAAAAAAATTATATAGAAAATATGGCTTGAGATCAACCTAAAATAAAACCAGTAAATCAAATAATATAAGCAATTTAAATACAGATTTATTCAATTAATGAGTCCTTAATAAACCAAAATGTCTACATTTTTCATGTTACTTCTCAATGGACTAAATTGTATACAATTAACGCGTTAAAGGTACATGTCAACCATATATAAAATAAAAAAGAGTTTTAAATACATGCAATACATAATTGACAATATAATAAGTTAAGTAAACATGTCAAAATAATATTATACATCCTAAACAACAAAAAATGTGAAACTAAAAACATAAGTTCTAACAAGTGGATGTAATACTTAAGGAAAAATGTAGCTCGTTACTTCCTAACGGTCTTTATCTACCGACAATAATGAACAATCTATAAATATATATTAAAAAAATTAGAACAACAATTATTAATAATTCATAAAAAAATATAATAAAATAGAACTTAAACTAAAAACTTTAAAAATTAAAAAATTTCTTTCAGTCCACCTAGATATTATTTGTGAATTGACAATAATGTGTATTGTCAAAATTAGGAACTTTATTTAACAATAAAAAGTACCTGAATAAATTTTAGTTAACTTAAATATTATAAGTTATTAACTAATATCAAATATTTTTTAAAAAAGAAAATAAACCAACACATAATTAGATCACAAATTATAACAATAAAACACAAATATAGCACGATTTATACATAATATATATATATAGCACATAAACCCTAAGCACACACAATTGGCCAGAAACATATTCTTAATACATAGATTAGATACACATTGGTTTTATGCTTGCGCGTGTTAAACCACCAATAATGCGTTTCTTATATGACCCTTGTCTTTATGATATTTTTGGGCTTCAAGCTCCTATTCCGAAGGATCCAGAGGTACATGCGTTCTTGAATTTGAGATGAGATTGTATGAGGTTGTATTTAGGGATGGCAACGGGGCGGGGCGGGTACGGGTTTTATGATACCCGTCCTCGTTCCTGCGAGTCAAATCTATCCTCGTCCCCGTACCCGTCAGGTATGTGGTTTTTATCCCCATCCCCGTCCCCGTCGGGTATCGGGTATACCCGTACCCGTACCGTACCCGTCAATTTTTTTATTTTTTATTTTTTGTAAAAAAAATAATATTTTTAAATTATTTTTTTTATTATATTATAATTATAATTAAGTTATTTTTCTATCTTATATTATAATAAATAATCACACATAAAAAATATTAATTTTTTTTAATATAATTAAATTAAAAGTGAGTATTAAAT